AGATTCACATGTGGCTGAGTGATGATTACACCATGTTGGCTTTCATTTTTAAGAGACCTACAGTATGTCAGGAACCACACAGTGAATGTAAAGCACAGGAGACCACAGCTGAAGCCCACATCCACGCCCGGCTACATATTGGATATTTTTTAATAAAAATGATATCATGAATCCTTGGTGCTCCTGTACTGGACATTACATCACATCTGTAGAATATGAAAGCTAATAAAAAACATGGGATTTGTGGACCTGATTATAAATCCACCTTAGAATAAGTTACTTCACAGCCTCCTTCATTCATCTAGTCGTTTTGGTGATGTGATGTGACAAGATTTGCAGGGATTTGATTATTTTAAACTGTCTTAGATTTGACCTCATAATGTATCAAATAGCATTGATGATAGGTCAGCAAAAGGAGCAGCGAAATTAGTCAATGCTGATGCCTGACAGTGTTGCCCTCCATAAATCTGACTGTATTCTGTACCAGTATTCAGTACCAACTTCCTCCTGCAGCCCCAGATAGCTGCAGTAAAATGGCACAGAGAATGCGAGCCTCAGAGTGCGCCTCAGCTGAGACACTGCTATCAGATGTAGGGCGCAAACCGCAGAGTACGGGACCATGTGGGGCGGACCACCCATGAGTGCGCCTCCCCCATTTTCTCCCCGGGCTGCAGCTGGAAGATACACAATGCTGGAGCATGGGAACCAAGCACCAGCCATCAGCGGTGTGGAGCTGGTGCTTAAAGTGGAGATATTTTTGGTTTAGCGAGAATGAGAATGGTCTCACTCCACTTTTGGGGCACGCACTGTTTTTTGTTTTTTTTTTCTTTAATGGTTTCCTCCAGTTTGATGAATTTAGAGAACCTCATTTTCTAAGATGAATTCACTGAGTGAATATAATTTTCTTTGAATTACCATCAGTTTAGTGTCTGATCAGAATTAAAAAAAGTGATTTTTATTTTTTTTATTTTAGCACAATTCTATTTTTTTTTAATTGACTTGTCAGTCACATAACCACCTGTCATGTGTCAGTGTGGATCATAAACCCATGCTCTGACTCTTAGATTTGTTTTTTTTCTTTCTCTCTGTCTGTTTTTCAAAACGCTGAAATGCAAAGCTGGAGTGTTCAGCTGGGATGTTTGGGTTGGGTAACCCCCTGGGT